ATTTTCAGGTGGGCTCCTTAGCTTTTGGTCCAGTGTCTGTGAGCTTCTATAAGCCCAGGTTAGTTGCCTCTGTGGGTTCCCTTGTGATGAACTTGACTGTTCTCCTTCTCTTCAACAGGATTCCCAGAGCTCAGCCCAGTGCTTGGCTGTAGATCTCTGCATCTGCTTCCATCAGTTACTGGATGAAAGCAGTAGCGAGCTGCACAGACATGGCAGAGACATCAATCACTGGGATTGGTTGGTTAGAATCCCAGGTCTGTAGAGTGTCTGAGACTTAAGGATAAATATAGAAGTTTAAGATGAAGTAAATAAATCCTGTGAAAGCCTCCAAGATTCCAGTTTTTAGGATCTGGCAGAGGAGATAAAACCACACTAAATCCCAGCACTGTGCCCAGACAAATGCCCCCTTTCTTCTCTCAGAAGTTTGTGTTGCTCCTTTCTTGACACCCTACTGTCTCAATCTGTATTCCCCTCAAAACTGAAATTTGATTTCAAAAATGCATTTTAAGAAGTTTATTTTGTAAATATAACAATGCTCCTGGAATACAGGAATAAAAGCCTACAAGGAATAAAATGGGGAAGGAGAGAAATTCCGTCCATGGCACACATGTTGCTGATCCATAGGCAGCTGTGCTTGGTTCCTCAGGAACCTCAGGAAGAGATGAACAAAAGTCACTCTGCTGCTGTCTGCCCAAGAAGTACAAAAGAGGCATTATCCATTGACCCTTGGTTCTTCTTGACGGGGAGTTGCCCATAAGACATTAATTGCCTCTCACCTTTATCTTACTGTGCAAGACTGGTGAGATTTCTGGCTCTCACTGGCATCTTAGGCAAAGCCAAGGAAGAAGAACTTGCCATATTAATATTCCACTAAATCGACAAAAGTGCACACTCCTGTGTCTGCTCCTTCTCATTTATGAGCCACTTTTATATGAAACATGTCAGTTTTCTCCTTATTAGCTAATCCCATGTGATCTCAAAGCAGTCATTTACTAATCTATCTTCTACAGACTTGTCCAAAACACACTGAATATGCGCATACTCTCTTGGAAAAGCAAAAAGCAAATCAATCACCCCAGTTGTTGCCCAGTTACTCTATATCAGAATAGACACAAAGGAAGATCTATACCAATGCCTGTTTGATTACACCAGAGGATGAAAACTCAGCTGTTTTCCCTTCATCCCTGTTTATGTCTAGTATATTACATTTTCCCTTCAAATTGTGTCCATATCTATCATCCTGTTCTTAGATACAGTGTCTACCTTGTCAATATTTCTACTGGGGAATTCATTCTGGGACAACAGTGGCAGAAACAACTACAGCTAATACCAGCAAACTTGAAAATGGAAAATCTTCAGCTACCTTCCTTTGAAAAGAATGCTGTGACACACTTCTGCTTTCCTGGTGGACACTTTCCATTGTCCAACTCAATACAAGGATGATTTCCTTCTTGCTTTCTCCACTGCGTAATTCTAAAGACAAGAGGAGGGAGTGACTTATTTTCTTTCCTATCATCACAAGAAATTTTTTAAACAACTTACCTTATCTCCTAACCTAGATCTCCGAACGGAACATAGACCCTGATGAGGGCTGTGCCACACACTAAGCATGGGATTAAAGTTCCCATTCTTCTTCTGACTTTTGACTCACCAGCCGGAGACCCTAGGCTATTCTTAGTTTCATGGTACTTCACCCTCACTGAATCTAATAGTACAGTATGCCTTATTGGGCTCATGAGATAATGTATATACAATGCCTAAGATATTACTGAATATTGTTTTTTAGGAGTAGTCCAGGCAGAATTGTGTTTCATCCCCACAGGTAATTACTACTGTTGCCACTATTGGAAAAGGCTGGATTCCCCATTCCTGCCAAAGAGGAAACTCTTCAGATGTCCATGGAAATCAAGATTAATTTCCTTTCGAGATATTTCCTAAATTGGCAACACTCTTCATAGTGATCAAAGACACACTGGGGTATTACAAAGCCAAGGAGGAGAGCAGCACTGCAGGGACACAGATAATCACCAGATTGCTTAAAGATATAGTACCTATAAATGTCAGGCTGGCATTTCGTAGTGGTATATTTCAAGTGCATATAATTTTCTGTCACGTAAGCTCATACTTGGATGCCATCCATTCTGATACAACCAGCTCTTCAACCCAACGGTTGTTTGATTGCCCTGGTGTTCAAAACATCTCAGTATGCCTCGTTCCCCACTGCATTAAATCTCTATTTTCCAGCTCCTGGTAGAGAGAGATGTTAAAGATCAAGTCGAATCCCAGAGGGGAGCAAGGCTACAGGGGTCACTGTGACTGCACAAGAAAGTGCTTCGGAAAAGCAAGCATTCTTGCTCTGGTTTAGGCAGCCTTTAGAAGGCTGCATTTTTTCCTTCTTTAAAAACTAAGTAAATTGTCTCTCCTTCCTCAGGGAAAGGCATCTCCTACCTTTGACTTTATCAGTTATTTCAGCATCTATAAAGGGATGAAGTTGGCACCTACAAGAATGTAGCACTTAAATACATAGCTCAGTATACACTAAAAGTAACTTAGATGGACTGCTATCTAATCTATTGGCTTATTAAATTATTATCTCTTACAAATTTCTAAGATGTTTATATATAATGATACAGCCATTCTCTTAAGACATTGTGCTTCCTACCAGTGATCAAGATTGGCTTTTCCTTTTATACAATTCTATAAACTATTTGTATATCATGAATATACAAATATAAAATGCATAAATTCCCACACGTGTACATAATTTAAGAAAATAATTTATTGGAGAAAATTATATCACTGTGGCAAACCTTGTTTGGAGTCTGGCCAGTGTTATATATATTTTCACTAATACTTTCCAGATTTTATTTGGTGTGCTTATATGTCTATCTAAAATGTCTCTACCTCCCTTAAAGCAGAGTATAACCATGGGTATAAACCAAGATAATCTAATGTCACAGAAGTTCTGGGGTATTATGGTAACATCTGAGAAACCTCCATAAAAGCAATATGGCCCTGCCTGTTTCCTTCCTAAAGCCAAGAATATAGATGCAATTATTTGAATCTCAGAAGCAATCTTGTATCAGGAGGCAACCTTGAAAACAGGAGATAAAGTTAAGATGAAATATGTATTTTTTCCATCTTAGCTTTATGTAAAGACAGAAGTTAATCTGTAATTATATAATACAGTATATAATAATTATATATAACTATTATATAATTATATAATACATATATATAAACAGAAGTATACTTGCTAGTAAGTAAAGGGGTCATCTACTTTGCTCAAACCTCTGTTCTTATATATTATCTGTTACATTCAACTGAACCACACAACAGCTATCGAAGTCAGTGTCAAGAGTTCACAAAACTACATACCCTGGAAAGTTTCCTTCATTCTTTTGTTTGTTTTACTTGTGTTCTTAAACCCACACAGAGAAAAAGAAGTTCCCTGCTATCATCTCTACCTTAGTCAGGGCCTTTTAAAAATCCTAAGTTTATGAAATATATCTGTAACCCAATGAAAGTGTCGCAGTTGTGTGATTTTAGTACAAGTACGCTGAGAACGCAGAAAATGAAAAGCTGTAGCTATCCAAACTAGAAGAATCATTTTTGGAAAGCAAACTTAGGTCTCCCCTTAAAGTACCCCCGCCCCAAGAGGCACTGTCTAATGATCACATTAAATGAATTACCAAATTACTTTGTGGACTTTCACATGTTATTTCCTAGGGAGCTGTGCATCTGTTATTGTCTGCCTTTAGACAGAGGATAAAGACTGTTCACTCTCAGGCTGCCAGTGTCATCCTCCATCAGGGGAACACCATGAGAACACTCATCTGCGAAGTCTGAATATTCCTGTTGTTCATGATAGCACTCTGTCATTGTTTAGCAACCCCTCAGAGGCCAGCCTTCTCACACACACACACCTATCTCTCGCTTATTAAAAAACACCTTCTACAGGGATAGACTGGAGGAAATGGTCTCTCGTGAACACACGTGTGGCAAATGAATTTTGTAAGCTGAGGGCAGAAATGTAAACCTCTGCAGTTTATCCTGAAGCTCACCAGGAGCTTTTCCTTCACAGGTCTGACAGATCAAACCCTTCCACGAAGACTCATTTTGTGGTAACAAATGAATCCTGTCAGATTCCGCCACACCTACTCAGTTATGCTCGGCTGGTTTAAGAACATGAATGTGATGCACCTCACAGCCACCAAGCAATGGAGAGAGCATAGCTGTGACATTTGTTGTGCATGAAAAAACACTCTTCACGATGCAGAGAATTGATTAGTGCTTTAGTAAGTCTACACTGCTGGAAAAGCACGAAGTTGGTATTTTTAAAAGAGACAATAGAATGTACTGGTTGTTAGGAATGAAGTAAACAAGGGGCCAGAGACACTGCCCATAGTATGATTTGCTTGCCGTGTTACTCTGTGACAGCAGCTATTCTACTCAGGTTATCTTTGTTGTGCCTTACGTGATATCCTGTCATTCCATCTGTGTTGGTTAGTTTTATTTCTTCTTGACACAAGCTAAAGAGATACTTGGGAAGAGAGCCTTTCAACTGAGGAAATGGCTCCTTAAGATTGGCCTGTAGACAAGTGTGTCAAGAATTTTTTTTTGATTAGTGATTGATATGAGAGCCCCGCCCACTGTGGGTAAGGCAGATCGTTCTGGGTTCTCTAAGCAGGAAGGCTGAGAAAGCTGTGAGGAGCAAGCCAGTAAGCAGCATTCCTCCATGGCCTCAATTGCTGCTTTGAGCTCCTGACTTGACTTCCCTCAGTGATGGACCATCACCTGAAAGTGGCAGGTGAAATAAACCCTTTCCTCCCCAAGTTTGGTTACAGCCTTTATCACAGTAATAGAAACCCTAATAAAGACACCATCCATTTGAACTGGAAAGTGTTCTCTTCTTTCTCTTAGGATAAAAACTACTTCAAATGATATGCAAGCTGCCTCTGGCAGGCCTCATCTTACCTGATAGCTCTCACATTACTCACCCTCTATGAGAAAACTCTTGAACAAACATTTTCAGTGCTGGTCACAAATGGTATCAGTCCTTCCTTCCAACTGTAAGTCCCATGAAGGCAGATACCATGTCTGCCTTGGGCAACACTATGTCTGCAGAACAGCATACAGCAGGTTCATGGTGTTCCTGTGCTGAAAATAATTTGAAAGTTCTTCAGAATACCACAAGAAATAGTCTGGGAAGAAATGGATTTTCATCTCCTGAGTGTACACTATAGCCAGGCTCTGAGCTAAGTACTGTTCTTTAATCTTTTTATATGATCTATGTAATAAGATAGTAAGGCATAATAGTACACCTGTGACACAAATGGAAAAATTTGGGTCTAAAGAATTGAAATAAAGCCTGGCATGGAAAGAGAAGTCATACCTGTAATGCCAGTGCTTGTGAAGTGGAGGTAGGGAGAAGATCAGAAGTCAAAGGTCATTCTTGTGTTTATTCAGTTTGAAGCCAACCTCAGTTACATGAGACTATGACTCCACAAAACAAAAGATTTTAAGTAAAAATAACCAGTAAAAAAGCCAGAGAGTGACAGGAATCAATTGCAGAATTGTGTTGATGGTATACATTGTATGAGGGGGAGAGGGAAGGAACTTACAAGAAATGTTAAAGAACTATACTATTGAGTAAATTGGTGCTTTTATGTACTAAGGTAAATGTCAAGGCTAAAAGTATGTTTTCCATTTCATGTTAGATTTCTCTTTTTGAATCTGGGCTTGTTATTTACTAAGATTCAGATGAAAAGAAAACACTTTGTCTCTGCTGTTCATGAAATATGCCAATGCCCAGGGTACCTTTTGTACTATCAATGTGATTTCACTTGGTATTATAAAAAAAAGTCCCTTTAAGGTCCAACTGCTCCAGTTCTACTGTCCACGCAAACAACCTCACCAAAGGAAGATGTTAAGAGGGAGGCTGTAGAGGGTTTTCTAAACAGAGTAGTCCTGGACAGCATCCAAATCCATCAAGACAACTTGTTCAGGAGGATGACTGGAATCTTCAAAGCAGGTCTGAACTCCTCACCTTCCTGATTTCACTTCCTATGGTGCTATGGTTACAGGTATGTATCATCACCCCCAGCTGAAGGGTAAGTGGAGTTCTGCGACATCCAAATACACAGTGTTTGTGTCTTTTGTTCAAATTCCCCAGCTTCTGATGATAAGAGTTAGTTTTCATTTTCAGGTGACATATATATTTGTGAAGATGAGAGATGATTGAGGAAAAGTATGTTTTGTGCTTAAATCTTGGACAACTAAGCAGCACCATCAGCACCTATCAAGTGAGCCTATAAGATTCTTGATGATAAGGTCATATGAACCGAAAAAGACAAACATTTTCAGTAGCATCACTTACTATGAAATTTCAAAATACAACACCATTAATTTTTTTACCAACTCAGAAAAAGAAACAAATTCTTAGAGAAGGATAATAATCCAGAAAAGTATTTTTAAGGAGTGCACCAACCATTATAGAACTGTGTAACTGAGATTTAATGGGTGACTATCCTAAGTTCATGGGCAGTCCTTTTTTATCATTTTATTTGAATTAGAAACAAGATTGATTTACATGACAATCCTAGTTCCCTTCTCCCTCCCTTCCTCCCCCACCCCCCAAACTAAAACCCTACCTATCACATATCCTTTCTTCTATTCTTCCCCTGACTCAAGCTTTCTGCTCCCTCATGACCTCTGCATCCTTCCTCTTCTTCCCTTCTCATTCTCCTAGCTCCCTCCCCCCTCTTCCCATGCTCTCAATTTGCTCAGGGGATCGTGACCCTTTCCCCTTCTCCAAGGGACAAAGTTTGTCTCTTTTAGGGTCCTCCTTGTTTGCTAGTTTCTCTGGCAGTGTGGATTGTAGGCTGGTAATCCTTTACTCTATGTCTAAAATCCACATATGAGTGAGTACATATCATGTTTGTCTTTTTGTGATTGGGTTACCCCACTCAGAATGGTTTCTTTGAGTTCCATCCATTTTCCTGCAAATTTCAAGATTCCATTGTTGTTGTTTTTTTTTTCCACTGAGTAGTACTCCATTGTGTAAATGTACCACATTTTCTCCATCTATTCTTCGGTAGAGGGGCATCTAGGCTACTTCCAGTTTCTGGCTATTACAAATAGTGCTGCTATGAACATCATTGAACAGATGTCCTTGTTGTATGAATGTGCTTCGTTTGGGTATATGCCTAGGAGTGGAATTGCTGGATCTTGTGGTAGACTGATTCCCATTTTCTTGAGGAGTCGCCATACTGATTTCCAAAGTGGTTGTACAAGTTGGCACTCCCACCAGCAGTGGAGGAGTGTTCGCCTTTCTCCACATCCTCTCCAGCATGAACTGTCATTAGTGTTTTGGATTTTAGCCATTCTGACAGGAATAAGATGGTATCTCAGAGTTGTTTTGATTTATGGGCAGTCCTTAGATATGATAATAAACTGAGTCTCGGGGTCCAATAATTGTACATTTATGAAACAAAGACTAAGGTGGGGAATAATGAGAGAGAAAAACAAGTGGAATAGGAAATAGAAGGGGAGAAAAGGGAAGAAAAGGGGAGGAGACGAAAGAAATAGAAACAGACTGTTTGAAAATTACAGTTTGCAAACAAATCCTGAATATATTGCACTAATTTAATATACTGTAATGAAGAGCTCTTATTTTAAAAATATGTGTTCTCTATGTTATTGAAAATCCCCTGGTCTTATAAGGATGGAGAATTAATCAAAAGCAAAGATGAGCAGTCTTACACAGTAGCCAAGTTAAGATTCCAAAAATGCATTGGGATGATGATGTCATAAACCCTGAATGTGAACATAAACTACAAAAAGGAAGACCCCAAGGTCAAAATACTGTCCATGTCTCAAGAATTGTTTGATGTGAATAATGATTTCTGCAGGCTGTTTCCTACAGACAGAGTGTAATTGGGATTACTAAGATCCAGGCATCCATTCATTTCTGGGATTTTTCAAAAAAAATAAATCTTATTAATTCTAAAGTGTTTCAAACCTGAATGAGAATTCTTAAATTTTCATTTATTGATATATTTTCAATCATGCTAATTTTCCCATGGCTGATCAGTAGACAAATATCGGTGTATTCCTAAGTCCTTGCAGAGATAGCACCTGAGTCCTGAATGAAGGAATGATCCTTCATTCATTAATTCATTGCTGGTAATGAATTAACTTTCTACATGTTTGCCATTCAGGCACAGAAGAGCATCACTGCTGTGTTAGGGGCTTGTGAAGTTAATTCAGTTCGTTAAAAGCCTGCATTTTACTGCCCATTTTTGATTCGCATCCATGACTAAACACCTGGCAGGGAACATCTGATCTTTTCCAGAGGGCAAGTCTAAATGCTGCACCTAATGATTCAGTCTCAAAATTGACACTTTGCAATTCTCTTTACCACTGCAAAGTAGCCAAGGGTATTTCTGAATCTCATCTTCTTTCATTCATATGTATTAAATCAACTTGAAATTGTTAAAATGGGACCCTGTCTGCCCCAAGTCTTTAAACTCTGGAGAAGAAGAGCTGTCATCAAACTGAGATGCTGATACCTCTGCTCACTGGAGTGTATCCCTGTCACTCTCCAGGTAAATGGCTTAACACATACTTTGTTGACAGCAAACAGCAAAGGCAGCTTCCCAGAAGGAATATCACACAGCTGCCCTGCTGAGTTACCTAAGTGCATGTCAGAGATGCTTTCCTCCTTAAGGGCAGCAGGGAAGCTTTTTCCTGAAGTTGCTGTATCCTATCCACTGAATTTTAAATGTGATTGTCTATGGAGGCTTCAATATTGGAATGGTTAAGAGATACTTATTTTAGAGGAGGTTTTGTCTGTGATTTCAAGATCCCTTTGCAGTACTGTTCCTTGCCTCTGTTAAATCTTTCTCCTTTGTCTTGTTGTGAAGAAACTTGGACTTCAAGCTTCTGGATTTTGTGTACATCCAGGTAGCAAAGCAGAATGGAAATCTTCAGTAGTCTTTTCACCCGTGTTATGACAGCAAAAGAAATACACCATATCCCATCTTATGAATTAAAGGACCCATGGTGCCTCTCTGCATATATCTAAAGGTTCTTTGTTCTGTTCAACACTTGCTGCTCCTTTGGAACAGATGAATATGAAGACAACTGTGTAACACAGTGAGGCCTGCAAATTCATAGATGTATTAACCAAAGTCTAATTATAACTTGATCTAGAAAAAAAAACAAAAGCCTGTTTCCAGAGAAGCAGCTTCTGTAAGAACAAACTTAGAAGTAACTATATCCCCAAAAGTGCTACTTGGTCAAACTGAAGTCTTACTACAAGTATTCTTGGATACAGGAAGGAAAAGAGTAACACCTCATCTTTTTTGCTCTTGGTTCTGTGGAGCAGATAGAAATGTGATACCACAGCTTAGCCAACTCCTTACTCCCTGAGCATCTGCCTGCTTTTAATTAATGGTCCTCACTGCTTCTGCAAGCTCAAGCAGATATAGTCTTATTTAACAGACTTTAATATCTTGCATCACTTTATAGCTGATGAAGTTAATGGTATAAACTATGCTGTTCATGTTGTCTTCATCAAGTGGGGGCTAGATGAGATGGTTTCATTCTTCAGTGTTTTCATTTATAATTAGGACATGTATGTTCACTGTAGAGACATAAATTATGACTTGTATCTACTGATCAAAATGTGTCTCGATTTGTGTTTACTTTATAATAAAGAATTGTAATTTACTATGAAATGACAATCAACAGTTTACAGGTTTCCAATCTTGTAAAGCAGACACTGTTAGAAGTATTTTACATAGGCGATCTTATTTAATCCCACAAGGAATACAGCTTTTATCTCATTTTACAGATGGAAACACTAATTATTAAAGAAGAGAAGAAATTGGGACAAGCCTTCACCAACCAGTAGCAGACTGTAACTAAAACCCTTCAATTTAACCATGCCAAAAAGAATAATGAAAACTATTTGTTTCAGAAGAATGGGTATAACTGAAGGAAAGTGTAATGAGTAATAAACCAAGCAAAGAAATATCAAATCCACACATCTTCACTCATTTGTGGCAGCTAAATAAATTAATATCAAATATGAGATTAAAACCAAGCCACTGCTAGCAAAGGCTGGGAAGGATACTTGGAGAGTAGAG